CTTTTTTTTTTTTTTTAATTTTTGCCATAGGATGTGTGATCTTGCTGGAGAGAGACAGTGAGAGGGAAAGTGAGAAATCATCCCTAGGGGGCAGGGCCACACTGCAGTCCCTTCTCCATTCTCCTTTTAGGATTTTGGGCACGCATGTACACACGCCCAGGATGATTTTCAAGCAGCCAGGTTTGGGACTTGAACTGCAGTAGTCCATGTGAGAGTCCAGTACCTTAACCCCACCCACCTGCTGGCCAATCTTTCCTCCCATTTTTTTTTTTAAGAGATATTTTTGCTATAGGGTGCATGAGCTTGCCAGAAAGACAGAAAGTGAGAAATCACTCCCCGGAGAATGGCCTTCTCCACTCTCCTACTGGGATCTTGGGCATGCATGCACTTGCATCTGGTGTGAGTTTTAAGCCACCAGGTCCAGGACTCGAACCGCTGTCAACTATGTGGGAGTCTAGCAACATAACCAGCACACCATCTGCTGGTCCTTTTCCTCCTAGTTTATAGAGCTTTATTTTTCAACTAAGTTTAGAAATATTTTCTAACTATCATTGCCAAATGAGCAATTTAGCATACAAATATGTATTTATTTTTATTAAAAAAAACTGCACAGCTTGAAATAGAATAATTTCTCCATACTGTGTATACCTTACATTGATAAAGTTGTACGTCATAAAAGAAAATTACAAGAGGGACTTCAGAAAGTCTGGGGGAAAATGGAATTAAAATTCATTTATTTTGGTGCAAAAAAATTTAAATCCATGCGTAGTTTTTTCATAATATACACTTTCCACAAACTTTTCAAATCCCCCCCCGACTTCCAGTCTTACAATATACATATTATTCTCAGCAGGCAAGGTAGGAGGAAAACATTTTCCGTCTTAAAACTTTGATAGTTTTACAAATCGGTTATAATCAGTAGCAATGAAATCATTTCTTATTTGAGGCTTACAAGCTATCGGGCTGTCGGAAAAGTCATGACATTTTTTTTTCTATGCCAAAATGCATTGTGACTGTTCTGCTGACCCAGTAGAATGTACACTTTGCTGGAACAAAACTTCAGGGACCAGCAGTTGGCATAATGGCTATGTCGCTGGACTCCCATGTAGTCGACCGCGGTTTGTGTCCCAGACCCGGTGGCTTAAAACTCACGCCGGGCGCGTGTGCGTGCGTGCCCAAGATCCCGAGAGGAGAATGGAGGAGAAGGGATTGCGGCGTGGCCATCCCTCCTGGGGGGTGATTTCTCGCTTTCTGTCTCTCTGTCTCTGTCTGTCTCTGTCTGGCGAGAGCATGAGCTCTATACAAAAAAAAAAAAAAAAAAAACCTCTCCAAAAAACAAACAAACAAAAAAAACCCTTCAGTGACAGATACAACATCTCGTTATCTAATTTACTTCCCGAGGAAATATTTCACACTGTTTGGAAAATGACAGGAAGACCCACAGAGTATTTTTAAAACGTTACTTTCAGGTAACACAGTTTAAATACAAAGTATGTAAGTATTACATTATGACGTATCTACCAGATTTTTCTTTAACTTTTCGGATATCCGTTATGCTTGCTCTTTCTGAAAGCTGGCATTTACGAAATACATGAAGTTTTCACGCATTCCTGACATTATGGATTATTTTAGTGGCTTCGCTGAGGTCGGAGTAAGACAATGGCTGCTCACGCCTGCTTTTTACATGGGAAGAACTGTCTCTTCCTGTGCGCGGTAGCCACCTAGCCTTCACTTAGCTCTTCACGTGCAGACCAAAGAATGAAAACGATGAAGAATATCCTTTCTGGAAAAGTCCAGCTCCTTATTTACAAAGTCCCGAACGCAGTGATGACAGCGCTGTGAGCCGAGCGGCTCGACGCCCTGAGCCCTCCGTACCTGAGTCCGTCTCCTTGGCTGTCCCCCAGTTCGACACTGGACTCCTACTGAGTGCAGCGCTGGCACTAAAGTCTTCATGTTCTCATACGCGCTCTGGACTGGGAATTGAACTTCCTGGGGAGGCAGATCAATGCTGGAGGGCACACGCATGTACACGTGAGAGGGAGCGAGCACACGCCAAGGAGACCGTTCCTCTTCTTCAGATCTCCAACCCACCAGGACCCTGGGAGTGTGCGCGTGTGCCCAGTTTGTTTTCTCAAGCTGACAGCGCCTGGCCTCAGACTCTGCTCAGCCACGTGGGATCTGACTGTCTCTGCATCTTGCCTGACCACTGTGCAACACGACCGCCCAAATATAACTTCTTAAATATCATTTTCTTTCTCTTTCTTTCTTTCTTTCTTTCTTTCTTTCTTTCTTTCTTTCTTTCTTTCTTTCTTTCTTTCTTTCTTTCTTTCTTTCTTTTTTTTGCCATAGGGCATGTACACTTGCCAGAGAGACAGAGAGAGACAGAAAGTGAGAATCACCTTGGGGGGCGGGGGAGATAGCCACGCCACTGTCCCTTCTCCTCCACTCTCCTCTCTGGATTTTGGGCACCCACACACATATGGCCAGTGTGAGTTTCAAGTTGCTGGGTCCGTACTCAAGCTGCAGTCGATCATGTGGGAGCCCAGCACCCTAACTACCACACCACCTACTGGGCCCTAAAATATCATTTTAAAAGTGCTTAGTGCATGTGGGCCGGCAGGTGGCATGGGGGTAGAGGTGCCGGATCCCACATGGCCGACTTCGTGGTTCGAGCCCCAGACCCAACAGCTTGAAAATCACACCGGGCGCGTGTGTGTGCATGCCCAAAATCCCGAGAGGAGACTGGAGGAGAAGGGATTGCGGCATGGCCATCCCCCTGGGGGGGCGGGTGACTCTCATTCTCCCTCTCTCTGGTGAGTGCACGCTATAGCAAAACAAAACAAAACGAAATGAAAGCTTAGGGCACGTGCAGATTTCATAAATACTCGATTTTACTTCATTGTACAGACCTGCTTTTCATGAACATGACATACTATTGAGAAAAGGTAACAGGGCTGAAAACAAACTCAAAACAACGCCCAAGAGGACTAAAAGACAAATAAATGCAGCGTCGAGGCAATGCCAGGCGCTGAGCAGGGCACCAGTGACTCAGGCAGACGCTGCCTGGCTATGCACCATGGCGGCCCCTGCACCAACCACAGCGGCTTCGGAGCTCGTCCCATCACAGAAAGGCGTCTCGGAGCAAGCTGCTGCTCACCGCCTGTCAGCTATCAAGAGGAGCCCTGGAATTCATCGGGTGTCTTTTGAGTGCAAAAGACCCGTGTGTTCATTTAATTCAGCAGACATTTCAGTGTTCTCCCCCCAGTTTCAGCAGAGCCTTCCCAGTGTGAAGCCAGGGCTCACCCCGCTGCTAGGTTCAGAACTCGTACCGATTCTGACGGGGGCTGAACGCAAACCCACGTTTTATGTTAACGCGACATAAGGCCTTTTGCAAGAGAGGGTGGAAATTGGTGGTTTAAACAACCAAAAGAAACTAATAGAGCATCTTTTAAAAGCACCCATGGGGCCAGCAGGTGGCAGGGTGGTTAAGGCGCTGGATCCCACAGGCTTTGAGCCCCGGACTCGGAGGCTTGGGAATCCTGTGGGTGCCCAAAATCCCAACGGGAGGGTGCAGGAGGAGGGAATGTGGAATGGCTCTCTCCCCTGGGGAGGGGGGCTTTCTTATTTTCCATCTTTCTTTCTCTGTCTCTCTCTGGTGAGCACATGTGCCATAGAGCAAAACTTAAAAAAAAAAAAAAAATCCGCTTGCAGCGCCAGAACCAGTAATCAGCAAACCGGCCACCTGGGGTGTCAGTGCAGAACGGGTGGTGTGTCCTGCGTAGATAGTGAGGCCTTCCTGGAGAGGAGTCCCAACCTTGCGTTTAGGATTACAAAGGATTACTTTTCTTTTTTCTTTTTCTTATTCTTTCTTTTTTTTTTTTTTTTTTTTTTTTTTTTTTTTTTTTTGAGAGGATTCCGCTATATGGTACCTGCGCTTGCCAGAAAGAGAGAGACAGAAAGCGAGAAAACACCCCCCGGGGGGATGGCCACAACGCAATCCCTTCTCCTCCATTCTCCTCTCGGGATCTTGGGCACGCACGCACATGCGCCTGGCGTCAGTTCAAGCCACCGGGTCTGGGACTCGAACCACAGTTGACTACATGGGAGTCCAGCAACGTAGCCATTACGCCAACTGCTGGTCCCCAAAGGATTATTTTTACATATACATTTAAACGACTTTCCTGAGAAGTTTGGCAAGGCAATGCTATTAGTTTGCTTAAAATGTATAAGAACACAGTATCATATGTATCTTTAAAGCATTGCAAAGTCAGGAGCAGGCAGGGGGCATAGAGGTCAAGGCACTGGATCCACTTGGCTAACTGCAGTTTGGGTCTGGTGGCTTGAGTGCACGTGTGCACATGTGCTCGAAATCCTAAGAGGAGAATGGACGAGAAGGGATTGCAGCACTGGAAGTGACTTCTCACTTTCCCTGTCTCTCTCTGGAGCGCGCGTGCTCCCTATCGCCAAATATATATGTTATCAGCATAATTTAGAAGCCAAGTGCCTGTTAAAGGGATCCCAGAGGGCAAGAGAGAGGCAAACAGCAGCCGTTTTGTGATGCAAAAAGCAGCCTTTCAAACACAAGCCTGCAACTCAGCCCCAAATGCTTGGTTACCTCGGCTCCCCTCGGTTTATATGTGCAGAATAAAACAAACAAGTCTCCATTCTTTGTTTCTTTCTTGGAATAAAATACCAGGTGTCCTGAGAGAGCCCAGGGCTCCCAACTTGCTAATTTGCTTTGAAGGCTGGAAGAAGAGGAAGGGTGACATGCGGGTGCGTGGTGAGCGGGCTGGATCGGGCACTCTGCTTTCACGCAGCTGCTTTTAGCACAGGGATGTCAACAAGGACTGCACAGAATGTCGTCCCCGATGGACCGGTGACGTCCTGGCTTGTCCCAGCGTGGCACAGCACAGGCAGACCCGCTTCCTGGTCTACAGGTTCCGAGGCAGAGGACAGCCAGCGGCAGCTCTAACCGGTGCCGGTGCCGAGGAGGCTGGAGGACAAGCGCGGGCTTTAGGGAACCGGCACCCGGCCCATGTGATCTCAGATGAGAAGGAAAACGCTTGCTTTCTCATTGAGGAGTCCTGGTTTCTCCGAGGTGTCCCCAAGAGTGACCGGGCCTGGCTGGGTCCCAGCCTGTCATGTTCTCAGGGCTGCAGACGCTCACTGCGATGTCTCTGCAGCTGAAAACCCGCCACCAGCCCCGGGACAGCATAGACGCTGACACTCTCACTTTGCTTGCTGTCTTCTCCGTGGCACCATCTCTCCCGGAGGAAAGGTCCCGCCCAATGCCGTGCACCCGCCTGCCGGCTTGAGTAATCTGAGACAGGATCCAAGGAAAGCGGGGTGGAAAAGGGCCTCCCGATTGAAGCCCTGAGGAGGGACCCAGGGTGCCTGGCGGCTGGGCCTGGCTGGGAGGAGGGACAGACCCCTGACCAGCCCTGAGCACAGGGCGTGGCCCCTTCTGCCCAGCACAGGAGGCAGGACCAGCGGCCAGGCCTTTCCCAACACTCCTAGTCCAGGTGAGGCCGTCACTGGGGAGAGTGGGCCTGGAAGGACCAGCCAGGGTTCTGCGTCTGCACAGATTTGCAATGAATTAAATTCCTGTCCTCCTCTTCATCCTCCACTGGCAGGCCGGGCAGGCTCCCCAGGGGCTGCTTCTCTGGGAAGACATTAGCACCACCTGTTTTACGATTCATTGTCGCTGCAAAGAGAGGAAAAACAAAGATAAGCCAGAATGGTGGTATACTTCCAGCAAGGGGGTGACTCGGGAAGCCACAGGGCCCCCACGCTCGTGGAGACCGAGGGCGGCTTGAATTCTACATTCGATCCTGGAGGAGGGAATCTAGGGACACCAAGAACTAACCCCTGCCTCTCCTCCAACACCCCTCCCCGCACTGGTGTCGGGGGGGGGGGGGGCACGAGCTGGAGGCCCCGCTGAATGAAGCCTAACCCTGTTTGTGATGCATACATGCCAAATCACCTTAAAAATGTCTATGTGGGTACCAGCAGTTAGCATAATGGCTATGTCACTGGACCCCTTCCAGCTGAGCACACGTCGGGAGTGGGCCCAACTGCTGCACATGTGCTTCCAGTGCCCACCACCTGGAGACAAGGCCACAGAGGAGGCGGGCAGCCCAGAGACCTCCACCCTAGGGAGACAGCCCCGTTAGCCAACAGCACTGTCATGGCCAATGCGTTTGTGCTCATCCGTAGTCGGACACCCTGAGATGCCGGATGACTGAATTCTTTTTAGCTTTTTGCCATAGGGCCCACTACCAGAGAGAGTCAGAAAGATACAGAAAGAGAGAAAGTGAGAAATCACTCCCCAGGGGGGATGGCCACGCCGCAGTCCCTTCTCCTCCATCCTCCTCAGGATCTTGGGCACACACACACACGCGCCCGGCGTGAGCTCCAAGCCATTGGGTCCAGGACTTCATGAGCACCTGAGAGTCCCCGCCACCTGCTGGGCCCCGATGACTAAATTCTAAATGACACTGAGAAGACACCTCCAGATCCCCGTGGGCTGTTACACACTCACCGGGCCCCACATTATGGAGAGAAAAGAGCACATGACATTTGTTTTTGTTCCGAAGGATTTTTTTGCTATAGGGCGCGTGCGCTCGCCAGAAAGACATGTGCTCAACATTTATTCCTCTAATGACGTGACTTGAGACTTTCGCTCGTATAAGGCCAAGTCATATTCATTGTTGAAAAATCAGAGAAGACGGAGGAGGAGTAACACCCGCATCTCACTACACTCGCACCTCACTATGTACTGCCCCAGGAACATTGTGTTATAATGATACACAGACGGCCCTCTGTACCCACGGGCTCTGCGCCACGGATTCAGCCACGTGCAGACTGAACGCCGGCGCGGGCCGGCCGGGCACGGGGTAACAGCACTCCGCGATGCTGCGCCCCCAGGGGAAGGTCCAGTGTCCCCTCTCGGGGCCTCCCCCTACAGCCTGGGCTGGCTGAGTTGGGGCCAGACTGCAGCCCAAGGGCCCTGCTGAGGGTACTCTCTCTCTCTCTCGGAAGAAATAAATCAACTTAAAAATATTTTTTAAAAAATTAAAATAAAAATCCAATACAGTGGCCAACTAGTGGCTAAGGGGGCTGGATCCCCAGATGGCATAATGGTTATGTCGCTGGACTCACACATAATCAACCATGGTTTACGTCCCAGACCTGGCAGCTTAAAACTCACTCTAGGCGCGTGTGCGTGCGTGTCCAAAATCCTGAGAAGAGAATGGAGGAGAAGGGATTGCGGCATGGCCATCCCCCGGGGTAGGGGTTTCTCGCTTCCTGTTTCTCTGGCAAGCACACATACCCTATAGTAAAATTCTCTCTCAAAAAAAAAAAAAGGTGGCTGTACCCCACATTGTCAACTGCACAGTTCGAGTCTCACACGGGGAGGCTCGTGTCTGTGTGCCCGAAATCCCGAAGGGGAGTGGAAAAGAAGGGATTGTGATGTGGTCATCCCCCTGGGGGGTGACTTCTCTCTTTCTCTCCCTCTCTACCTCTCTCCAGTGAGCGCACATACCCTATACCAGACAGACAAACAAACAAACTGAGGCCGTAACAGCATTTACACTGTGTCAGGTATTATAAATAAGCTCGAGATGATTTAAAATGCACAGCAGGGTGTGGGGAGCCGGTATATAAATACTGCTCCGTCTTCCATAGGAGTCTTGACCATCCATGAGTTTTGGAATCCACAGCAGGTCCTTGAAGCAACCCCACAGACACCAAGGGGGACTGAATGTTCTTGATGCACAAGAATGTGGTCGGGGCCAGCAGGTGGCGTATTGATTGGGGTGCTGGACTCCCACATGGCCGAGTGCGGTTCTGAATCTGGTGCGTGCGTGCCCAGCATCCAAGAGGAGAATGAGGGAGAAGGGATTGTGGTGTGACCACGCCCCTTGAGGGATGATTTCTCACTTTCTGTCTCTCTGTCTCTCTCCGTCTCTCTGGTAAGCGTGCGTGCCCTATAGCAAAACTCTCTCCCCACCCCAAACAAAACAAAACAAAACAAAAATGGGGTCCAATTATATACATCGCGCTCTGTAATGTTTTTCTCACTCACATTCACACGTCAACATTAATTCCTGCTAATAAATATGTAACACATTTTTAGTGGCTACACCGCATTCCACTGTCTGACTAGATCAAAGGAAATGTTGAGCCAAAGCCTACGGCTCAACGTTTGGGCTGTTTTGGGGTTTTTTAGTTTTTATTTATTATGTTCTCGTTAGATCTTTGCGTACTTTTCATTGTCACCTTGACCTAAAGTTCTCGAGGAGAACAGCTGGGTCAGAGTGTGTGTAATCACAGCCCACTGCCAAATTACCCCTCTTCCTTGGCAACTGCTTACAAGTTACATCTCCTCAGTACTTCCCTTTAGGGAAATATCTTCGCCTCTCCATCCCCTCCAACACGGGGTATGATCGTATCTGTGTTTGGTAGGTCCACTAGGTGAAAAGGGTATCAGATTTACTTTTTTTAATCAAGAAGAATAAACAATTTTTCAGAGTTCATTTGTCATTTAAATTTCTTCCGCTGCTGAACTGTTTATTTTTGTTTGTAAAGAGTTATTTATTTATTTTTTTTGTTAAATTTGCTACAGGGCATGCACACTCACCAGACAGAGAGAGAGAGAGAAAGTGAGAAAGCGAGCCACTGTGTCCAGGACTGGGGCCACAGCCGCCGTGTGGGAGCCCTGCGCCCCGGCCACCGTGCCACCTGCTGCCCGCTAAGTTGTTTCTTGATATTCTTTGCTCATATTTGAAGTGGGACAAGTACCTTTTTATTGTCTGTATATTAAGACTAAAACGTTTTCGTTCATCACATGTATTGTAAAAACTATATATTCCCCTTTGTCACTTTCCTTCTCATCTTATTTTTTTTTACTTTATGAAGTATGAACATTTTGATTTTTTTTAAGGTTGTTGTCATAGGACGTGTATGTTCACCAGAGAGGGACAAAGAAAAACAGTGAGAGAGAATGTGAGAAATCACCCCCAGGGGGACGGCCATGCCCCAATCCCTTCTCCTCGGTTCTCCTCTTAGGATTGGGGCACATACACAGCCGGCATGAGTTTTCAGCCACTGAATCCAGGACTTGAATGGTGGTTGGCCATGTGGGAGTCCAGCACCTTGACCACAATGCCACCTGCAGGCCTTGAAATTTTGATTTTTTTTTTTTTTTTTTTTTTGCAGAGGTTGTTGCTATAGGACGCATGGACTCGCCGGAAAGACAGAGAGAGACAGAGAGAGAGAAATTGCCCTCCAGGGGGGATGGCCATGCCACATCCCTTCTCCTCCATTCTCCTCTCGGGATCTTAGGCACACACACACACACACACACGCCCGGCATGAGTTTAAGCTACTGGGTCCAGGCCTCAAACCGCGGTCAACTACATGGGAGTCCAGTGACATAGCCATTACACCAACTGCTGGTCCCTTCAAACCTTACATTTCTAAGGAGACGCATTTTGAAGCCCTCGTGTGTGACACTGTCCGGCAACCAGAACCCACTTACTTAAAGCACCCAAGAACAAAAGCAGCCCTGGGTGTGGTGCCGACTGCCGCGGACTGTGAGCCGACGTCCCTGGGCCAGCCTGACATCTGGTCATTAAGGTAGCTGGATTCCACTTGGTCAACTATGTGGTTCGAGTCTGGGACCCAGCAGCCTGAGAAACATGCCGGGAACATGTGTGTGCATGCCCAAAATCCCGAAAGGAAGGAACAGTGGAGGAGAAGGGCTGACCATTCCCCTTGGAAAGTTCTCTCTCTCTTTCTCTCTCTCTCTCTCTCTCCCTCTCTCTCTCTCTCTGGTGAGTGCATACACCTTCTGGCAAATAAAAAATAATAATAAAGATGATCCCAGAGTGGGGACAGTTCCCTCGGCTGTGGGCCACCAGGCCACAGTCACTCTCAGCGTGTGGCCGTTCTCCAGGGTGGTGGGATGGCCACAGGCCGGTCAGGAAGTCCCCTTCCCTGATGGCACCCTCTGCTGCCTGTGCCCGTTCCTTTCCGCAGCTGGGTAACTCCACGCTGTGCGCGGTTAGTTATCATCTCCGTGAGGCGAGCAAACAGCTCTGGCGGAGCCTGGAGTTCCCTGTTGAAAATACCTTGGCTCACCGCCAGAGAAATACCATAAATAAAGCAAGTGCTTCGAATTTCTCCGCTTGCCTCCATGCCAGTGCCTGTGGGTTTAGCGCCTCACCTAAAGCAGCGATGCTATTTCTTTTTAGGAGTATTACGTAGATATTTTAGGAATGTGGAACATCTTTCCCAAAAGTTTGTATAGTACCAAGCTGACAAATCAAAACAAGTGGAATTGTTTAAAGATGATGGTCGTCGTCTTCTTTCTCTTTTGAATGCCAGAGGACATGCGTGCATGCATGGCGAGGGGAGCACCCCCCCTCTGCAGAGCTGGTCACATCATGATCTTTTTGTTTTAATTTGTTTTAAATAATTATTTTATTTAACTTTTATTTATCTATTTATTGTTTTTTAAATTTTGACCAGGGAGGGACAGAGTGAGAGAGAGAGAGAAAGAAAGCAAGAAAGAGAGAGAGAAAGTGAGAAAGCAAGCCAGCAAGCCACCAGGTCCAGGATTCGAACTACGTTCGGTCACGTGGGGTCCAGCACCCTTACCCACCACACCGCCTGCCAGCCCCACACATTGCAATTCTT